TTCACTCAAAAACTGCCATTTTTTGCAGATTTATATCCGTATTTCCGAAATGTATGGACCTGCCTTTGCCAAAGATTAATTCACCACTTCTCCCCATCATTACGAATTGAATGTTTTTTGGATCATTCAAATCGGATGCTCCGTTCTCTCAAAAATTCGATTTTTATTTTCTGCACTCTTTTCATTGTATCTCCGAAACGGTTAGACTTGCCTTTGCTAAAAACTAATCAGCATATCTCTCTATCAATAGGAATCGAGTGCATATGTCTAATGATCATTTTTGACCGCCAAATGGCATTTTTTTTTACTTTTTTTACTAGATCTCCGAAACCGCTAAACCTGCCTTCATGAAAATTTGATCAGTTTTTCATCTTGTTAATATAAGTAAAATGTTTTTTGAATTATTCAAATCGGACGCTCCGTTTTCTTAAACTGGGTTACCGTTTTTGACTTTTTCGCCCCATTTCTTCGAAACGGCTAGACCTGCCTTTGCCAAAAACTAATTGGCACGTCTCCTTATCAATACGAATCAAATGTTTTTTGAATTATTCGAATCGCTTTATCCGTGTTCCCGAAATCGTCGACAAAAATTTGTATCCGCACACACGTACCCACATACACATACATCCATTTTTTTTAAGGTATGCCAAAATGTTCAGAAACGTCGGAAACGTAAAGATATATAAAAAATTTCATTTCCAATTTTTTTACGATTACTATAACTTGCCCTACAGTGAGTTAATTATTATTTTTTCTACTGACCTGTTATCCCGTTGGATTTTATATTGTGTGGTATGAAAGTGCGCCCCTGGAGCAACCCGTTGTGATGCAGATCGGCAGGTGTGCTCGTCTGGGGTCCTTTTGAGTCTCGGCGGTTCAAATCTTCGGTTAGAGGACGCTGCGATAGTTCTTGTTCGTATTGGGCAGACGGGACGCAAACCACGAATAAAACACCGGCCATTGCGCATAAAAGTTTGTGTTTTTTTTTTTGTTGTTTATAATAAATTATTATTGCACTTTATTTTATATTTAACCTTTTGTTCAAATATTTTAAATTTTTAATACTGATGCGATTTTTATATTTGAATAACTAAATAGCAATTACATTAATAGTAAAATATATAATTTACCTGTAAAATTAAAGTGAATTTATATATAGTTACTCAGATATTATAAACATTACTCAGATAATTTAAATTGAGCTCATATTTTTTTTAAAAAATACTCAAAGTTCGCACAAATCTAAATTTTATTCGCAATTTAATTCGAAAATTTAAAAAAAATGCACAAATTTAAAAACAAATGTCCTAATTTAAGAAAAAACACACACTTTATCTTATAATTATAATTATTTAAATGAAAAATGAATAGAATTTCAAAAACAATTACGCACAGAAAATTAAGAAAAAAACATCAGAATTTAAAAAAACGGACGGAATTTAAGAAAAAATATGCACAGAATTTTAAAAGAAATAAGCAAAAAAATATTAACAGAAATATGAATAAAATTTTAGAAAAATATCCACATTAAATTTTGAAAAAAGGACGGAATTTTAAAGAAAAACTACATTTAATTCAAGAAAAAATATACACAGAGGTTTAAAAGAAATATGCACAGAATTTTAAAAGAAAATGCACAGAATTAATAGAAAAATGCACAGAATTTTAAATGAAAAATTCGCAGAATTTAAAAAAAAATGCACAGAATTTTAAAAAGAAAAATGCACAGAAATTTACAAAATTTCTAGAGAAAAATTGCACATAATTTTAGAAGGAATAATATGCGCATCATTTTAGAAGAAATTGAACAGAATTTTAAAAGAAGATCTCAAAAGAAATATGAATTAAATTTTAGGAAAAAAATCCACAACGATTAGATGGAATTTTAGAAGAAGAATACACTAAATTTAAGAAAAATTATGCACAGAATATTAAAAAGCAAGATTATGCACAAAATACTAAATGAAATATGAATAAAAGTTTGGAAAAAATTGAACTACAATTTTAAAAAAAATAAGCGGAATTTTAGAAGAAAAATGCACTAAATGAAACTAAAAAGAAAAAATATGCACAAAATTTAAAAAAAAGTTTACAAAATATTAGAAAAAAATGGTCACAATCTCTAAAAAATTCTCAGAATTTTACAAAAATTCTAACAAAAAAATATAAACATTTTAGAAGAAAAATGCACAGAATTTTAAAAGAAAAAATATGCACAAAATATTAAATGAAATATGAATAAAATTACAGAAAAAATTGACCAAATTTAAAAAAAATACACTAATTTTAAGAAAAAAAAAAATATGCCCAGAATTTTTAAAGAAAAATGCACGAATTTTAGAAAAATGCACAGAATTTTAGAAAAACAATTAAAGGAAAAAATGTTTAGCAATTTAAAATAATGTTCACAAATTTAGAAAGGTTTTCACAAGTTTAGACAAATGCTCACAAATTTAGACAATTTTAAGAAATTACACAGAATTGAAAAGAAAAATTCTCACAATTTCAAATGAAATAGTGCTCAAAATTTGGACAGAATTTAAAAATGTAGCTCTAAATTAAAAAACAAACGCTCAAAAATTCCCAATATATATGAAAAATGTTCAAAAATTAAGAAAAAGACTCAAACACAAAAAAAATTCATGGATTTTAAAAAACTTTAAAGTTTCAAAGTCAACATCATGAATTTAAATAATAATTACAATATAGTATTATGAACACTGATAAAATTTGAAAAGAGTATTAAAATTAAATATTATTTTAGCATTAAATACTATTGTGATCTAATAATAAGTGAGTAAAGTTTAATTTTAAAAAATATTTAATTAACGCCTTTATCGCTTAATACTTCGAAATAATTTTAATAAAATGTATAAATTTAATAGAAATTTAATGTATCCAAAAAACTTGATTTTTATCTCCAAAATTGATTACATTGAATATTCTTCGATATAAATTTCAAACACTTTTTTCAACACTTGCACACAATTTTAACATTTCTTCTACAATTTTCACAAAAGATTTCTTCAATTTTTTAATTAAAATTTAATTTAAAATGAACAATTTTTGTCGTAAAAACTACATGGTAATGTGCAATGGCCTCGAGCCTTTGCTAAAATGGAAATAAAATCGACTGGAATGAATTTAATTTCAATATTTATTATGTAATATTTATTTTAATAGTTTTTGTATAGCCAGATATTGAAATTTGGGGATTTTATTAACTGTTGTAGTACCTGATAGTAAAAGAAATATCGAATATAAATAAAATTTAATAATATTTATATAAATGTAAATTAAATGATATATTATTTCTATTATATTTTTGTTGGAAAAATATTAGAATTTTATTTGATATTTATTAACTTAATTTTATTTTAAAAAATTTATTTATATAAGTAATATGTATTTATATTTTTTTAATAAATTTGTGTTTTTAATTTAGATTTTATTTTCAGTCATTGTATTTAAGCTTTTTTATTAAATATTCAATTAAATTAATAAATAGAAATTAATAAAAAACAATTGTTTTATCAGTTTTATTTTTATATTTTTTATAGCCTAAGTATAATATTTAATAAGTAATATTAATATATATATTTTTCTCAATATATATTTTCATCAAGAAGTGTATGTATTTTTTTATTTAACTAGGTGTAAGTGGTATTGAGCCTTGAATCAAGTTAATTATGCAACTACAACTTTAAAATAAAACTTTTGCTTTAAACTTGAAATTAATGATGACAATTTTCAAAAATAATATCAAAACTTTAAAAAATAGTGTTGTAATTAAAAATATGATGTCAGAATTTAAGAAAATTGTCTCAGAATTTAAAAAAATAATCTCAAATTTAAAAACAGTTTAAAAATTTTTAGATTTTTAAAAAATAAAAAGTTTAAAAAATAATCAGAAAGAAATGAAACGGTTAGAATCTAAGTTTTTTGTGAAAATAGTATCAAAATTGAAAAAAACAGTCTCAGAATTATAAAAATAGTGACAGATTTAAAAAAAATTATTTCATAATCAGAATATAAAAAAATAGTCTCAATAGAAATAAAATTACTCAGATTTTAGAGAAAAAAGCGGTTTTTTGTCAAAATAGTATCAAAATTAAGAAAAACAGTTTCAGAATTATAAAAATCTATCAGATTTAAAACAAATTATTTCATAATCGTAATATAAAGAAATAGTCTTAGTAGTAACAATAATGTTCAGATTTTTTAAGAAAAAAGCTAGAATTTTTTAAAAGATGTTCAGAGGTTTTTTGTCAAAATAGTATCAAAATTGAAATGAATTGTCCCAGAATTGTAATAATATACAAACTGGTCTTAGTAATAACAAAACTGCTCCGATATTGATAAAAAAAATGCTAGAAATTAAAATAGAAAAGTCACTAGTCTTAGAAATTATTAAAATAGAAAAAGTTTAGTCTCACTTTCTTTTTGGTGAAAATAGTATCAAAGTTAGAATGTTAAATTAAAAATAATTAAAAAATTGTTTCAGATTTATAAAAATAATCTCAGATTTATAAAAATAATAATTTTTTTTCTCAAAATAATATGAATATTAAAAATAATATTCTCAGAAATATAAAAATAATCTCAGATTGAAAAAAAAAATAGTAAAAAATGTTCAGATTTTTAAAAATAATCTCAGATAAAATTAATAAGTTTTAAATGCTTGGAGATTGAAAAAAAAATGCTCATTTTTGTTAAATTAAAAAAATAATTTTAGATTTATAAAAATAATCTCAGATTTTAAAAAATATTATTATGATCAGAATATAAAAAATAGATTCAGTCAGTAACAAAAATGCTTAGAGATTTTTTAGACTAATATAATTTTGAAAAAAAATTTTAGGTATTTTGAAAAAATGCTCTGTTTTTTGTACTTATTCAATTTTGAAAAAAACGCCAAGTAGTTTAAAAAAATGTTCAGAGTGAAATATTTTAGGATGCTCGAAAACCATTAACACTATCACTGTGCAAAATTACTTGAAAACGCCTCGACCGATTTTCACAAAATATCACTAACCAGCACGATTCCCAAATGTCTTTCAAAAGTATTTGACAATGTGGACAGAATTTTTGGGATGGATATTTTGCACTTATCTGCTAATTATGAAAAAACGGCTTATCCGATCATCTGGCAAAACAGATCTTGTCTTTCGGCTTTTAAAATTTCAAATTCCCGCAACCGTTTTTGCAAAAACATCGACGACAAGTCATATTTTGTCTCACTCTCGCACACGGCTTTCAAATCGCATCCATCTCTCTCGCTGACATAACCCCTCTCGTTCCACTATCTAGATGGCGCTCGGTTCGGCTGGCTGTCATTTTTCTAAATCGTGTGCGCCCTGTCTCAAACATGGAAAGGCACTATGGCGCTTTCACAAAAAAATTCATTTTAATGACACAAGGTGTTATCAATTTTTATTTCGTATGATATAACTAAATTTCAAAATTCATTTTTTATGTCCGGGGCTCCGTTAATCGAATACAGTGGTACGAGCATATTATGGGAATGGTACAGGCCAAGGTAATACAATTCATTTATTTTGTTTTTTTTGCACCGAAAAGTCAAATGGAGATTTTGAGGTTATGGTAAATGATAAATGGATTATTCACAATTTTGTAGGTGATTTGGTGTTATAAATGTATATCTGTATTTGGGAAATTGATTTTTTACATATTTTGTCTTTTGTTGGAGATTTTAGTGTTAAATAACAAATGGACTTGAGATTGCGCAAAGTTCTAATAGAAGTTTTTTAGATCTATTTACATAACAGTTTTTGATTATTTTAGGTCTTTTCAGCGTAAATCAAATATAACTATTATAATTAATCCATTTAAGGAATTGTTCTTGTGGACTTCAAATGGTAAATATACCTTAATCAACTAATCGATGACATTGTTGAATTGTTGAATGTTTATCGAAATAGCCAACCTGATAATCTGGCACTAAATTGTTCTTGTGGACTTCAAATGGTGTAATATACCTTAATCAACTAATCAATGACATTGTTGAATTGTTGAATGGTTCTCGAAAAAGCCAACCTGTTTATCTGTACTAGATTGTTGTATTGATGATGTCCAAGGCAAACCTCTCAAATAACTTAGAAATAATCTGCAAAAGAATTTCTTGTCTAAAAGAACCGACTAAACTCAAGTTTTTACCCATTTTTGGAACGATTGATTACGATTGATGTCATTTTAAATATGAGACATGAGTTGGGTAGTTTTAAAATGTAGTTATAGATATGTTAGATAAATGTCTATTTTGTTGTAAGCAACCTAGGAGATATTTGGTCAATGTCTGGTGGCTTTTTTTTAATTTCTTAATTTCAATAAAAACTTTTTTTAAACTTTTTACCTATTTTTAGAACCATTACGATTGATGTCACTTAAACTTGAGACATGAGTTGCGAAATCTTAACATAGGTATGTTAGATAAATGTCTTTTTTTTGTAAGGAACCTGGGAGTTATTTGGTCAATGTCTGGTGACTTTTTTTTTTTAATTTCTTAATTTAAATAAAAACTCTTTTTACTGTACTAAAAACTAACTGTACTAATTTTATTAATTTATTAGTTTGCTAGGAGAAAAGTGAGTTAAATGGTAATTTGTTTAAGAGGCAATGCTTAAATACTGTCCTTAGATACGATGGATTAGTCATAAAATCAAATTGTACAAGAAAAGGGCAGTGTCACATTGCTCCTCGGGTTGCATAGAAATAGATTAAAAACAATAAGTACTAGGTAACAATAGGTAATAGGTAATAGGATGAAATATAGATATCTAAAATACAAATACCTCAGTGAAAGAATTTATAAGCTACCACATATCGTTCCAGAGATATTTGAATGATTCATAAAACTTTCTGCTTGTGTTGATGAAACAAATGCTTTTAGAAAAAAAAATTTATATATTCATTTTTTTTAAATGTTTTTGTATATTGAAAATAATTCAGATTTTAATTTTAATTCTGGCTAAAGCTCACTTACATACTTTAAATAAATAAAATTAACTTCGTAATTCAGTTTATAAAATTCTTGTAAATATTTAACAATGTTACAATTTTTATAATAATCTATTTGAAAACATTTAATATTTCGCGAACATATTGTTACGGTACGAGAAGTTCTAGGAATTTGCCTTAAGACACGATGCCATACACCCCACTAGTTATCTATTTAAATTTCATTCAAAAAGAATAAGAAATCAAAGCTAATTATTGGTAAATAACTACTAATGTTTGACTTATTATTGGCTCTTTACGAGCAATTTGGTTATCACATTAATGTAAGGCACTGATAGAAAATAATAAAGGAAACTTGTTCAAACAAACAGTATAGTTTAGCTGTTATGACGACTGTCATTACTGTAATTTGGCAATCACCTCTACTAAATATGATTTAAAAAAGAAACTTATTTGCTACTGCACAAGATGGCATTTAAGTAAAATTAAATGCATCGAATAACAATTTTGAATAATGTTTATTAGTAAAATGGTAACACTCGTGATGCACACAATTATTAGTGTCAACCATTATACACATTTATATAATGATAAATTATAAATTATATATTTATGATAGCCTTAAAAATATTTCTAATACTTGAAAACAATAATGTAATTAAAGTCACACTTCAAATATGACATGATCGGTTTGTCATTGTTGTTAGCATTTAGGACTTGAATCTTTATTAGAGAAATGAAGTAATTGCTGATTAATAAATTCTATAATATTCGTTAACATAGTGAATTATGTTAAACAACGTCTGAAGTTTTCACAATTTAACTCATCATGTAATAATTGTGTTTGAAGAACTTCATGTAATTAAAATTAACATACATTCATTGATTGATTGTATTTTTTTTACTTTTTCGCTGGCGATATAATCTCATTCTTTGAACAGCTGTAATATATGTCTTGCCTAAAAAATATTTTCCATTTTAATAACTTCAAAGATTTATAGAAACTACGAATAATATAGAAATAATTTCTAATCAATAAACTTTCGTTTAGTGCACGGCACAAATGTTTAATTTGTTTTATTATTTTCAAGGAACAGGGTAAAATATTCTTTTGATTCAGGCATTTTTTATTAAGTCAAGATTAGTACTACGATGTAACTTCAAAATGAATATTTATCTATGCCGATTTCCTTGTTGATGCCGGTATGCATACAACGACAGATCTCTATTCACATACACGACGACTAATCACAATCGACCCGTATAAAAATGATTTCATCGAAAGCGAATGACGTATTATATAGTTCTGGCGTAACGCATTTCCGTTGCGTTTGTACGGACTTACACCTTAGTCGCGCCTAAATAAGTTTTACTTAAATTACATTTTTTGCTCTAATAATTACCTCAATTATCCTTTAAATAGGAGGATAAGTATGCGCCCCTTCACACACAAGAGCCCTGCCAGGACACGTCGAAACAAGCGAGAGAAGTTGACATAAAAGGTGTATCTGTAAGTATGTATTGGCTAGTTGGCCGAATGATTTGAATTTAACAAACAATTATTAACTAAATTTAATTGTGTTTGTAGGCCAGAGTTGATCGGATAAATATCGAAGGTTTGGGGCGGACCAAAGATGACATCGTAGAACAATCTGTTAAGGAGCTTTTTAAAGCCAGGAACTTCCAAGATGTTATGGCCAAAGCCCACAAGTAAGGAGAATGGATATATGTGTTTAAATTAATAAGCATGAAATATTTTTTTTGCATAGTTTTATTGTGAATCAAAATTATATACATTTTTAAGACAATATGATGTTGGTGTTGATGCATTTAAGAGATTATCTTCTATGAGATATCTCTCTTTTTAACTTCCCGTAGGGTAAGTTATTGTAATGGGCCGAAAATCGGAATTGAAAATTTTTACATTTCTCGACGTTTTGAAGGTTTCTGAACATTTTGGCATACCTCAGAAAAAATGGATGTGTGTGTGTGTGTGTATGTATGTATGGATACAAATTTCCAGTCACGATTTAGGGCGCACGGATGAACCGATTTGAATGGTTCAAAAAACATTCGATTCCTATTGATAGGGAAAAGAGCTGATTAGTTTTTGGCAAAGGCAGGTCCAGCCGTTTCGGAGATACGGAGCAAAGAGTGCAGAAAAAATAAATCGACTTTTTGAGAGAACAGAGTATCCGATTTGAATGATCTGAAAAACATTCAATTAGTAATGATTGGAAGAAGTGTTTATTAGTTTTTGGCAAAGGCAGGCCCAGCCATTTCGAAGATACGGAGCTAAATATGTAAAAAATTGCAGTTTTTGAGAGAACTAAGCGTCCGATTTAGATGATTCAAAGAACTTTCTGCTTGTCTTAACAAAATAATTGATTTTGGAAAAAAAATTTTTGTTCCAACTTTTTTTTTTTTTTAATTTTTTGTATATCGAAAATAATTCATATTTTATTTTTAATTCTGACTATAGTTCTAATATACTTTAAACAAATAATTTCAACTTTGTGATTCAGTTTATATAATTCTTATAAATATTAGACAATGTTACAATATTTATAATAATCTATTTGAAAACATTCAGTATTCCTCTAACATTTCGTTACTGTACGGAAAGTTCCAGCAATTTGCCTTAAGGCACGATGCCATAATTGCCTCAAGACAGAATTCCACTTACAGCTAGTTGTTATTTTTTCTGTCATTTTATTCAAGATCTTTTGGCCATTTTTTCTTCAATCTTCATGTGGGATATTCCTCGCTTAATTCTTTTAAATATATGTTTGGGTGACCTGGTAGTTTTTCCTGGTATCTTTTGCTCCTTTCTTTTATCATTTCATTAATAGTTTTTATTTTTAGATCTTTATGTAGGGTGTCTTTTGTAACGTACCAGGGTGCGTTCACAATGCATCTTAAAATCTTCGATTGCTCTATTTGTATTTTTTTAATTTGAATTAAGCATGAAATATATGAGATATTTGATATATTTGTTATTTATATATATTTTTAGGGTGCGGGGTCGCCTGGACTCGCTGGGGTGCTTTAAGAGCATTGGGATATATATCGATACCAGCAGGGGACCAGGAGCTACACCAGAGGGATTGGAGGTAACGATTGCTATTGTTAATTACCAGAAATTACTTTATCAATTTACGAAACGAGGAAAAAAAGCAAAATTTATTGTTTTTGTCTATAAAACTAAATCTCAGTTATTCGTAATTCAGTGATTTATTTGCACATAAAATCACACTAACGGTTAGCTAATTATTTTTTAACTTCCTATAGGGTAAGTTATAGTAATGGACCGAAAATCTAAAATGATTTTTTTTGCATATCTTCACGTTTCACAGGTTTCTGAACATTTTGGCATACCTCAGAAAAAATGGATGTGTTTGTGGAGACAATTTTTTGTCGACGTTTTCAGGCGCACGGATGAACCGATTTGAATGGTTATAAAAGCATTCGATTCCTATTGATAGGCAGATGTGCTGATTAGTTTTTGGCAAAGGCATGTCCAGCCGTTTCGGAGATACGGAGCAAAGAGTGCAGAAAATAGAAATCGAGCTTTTGAGAGAACGGAGCATCCGATTCTCATGCCTAGTTCTCTAAAAAACATTTAATTTGTAATGATTGGGAGAAGAGGTGATTAGTTTTTGGCAAAGGCAGGTCCAGTCGTTTCGGAGATATCGAGCTAAATGCGCAAAAATTGCAGTTTTTGAGAGAACTAGGCATCCGATTTGAATGATTCAAAAAACTTTCTGTTTGAAAAAACAACAGCTTGTGTTGACAAAACGATTGTTTTTGGGGAAAAAAATTAATATATTATATATACTAGCTGACCCGGCAAACGTTGTTTTGCCATAAAATTATTTCTGGTATAAGTCGGTCTCAAAATTAAAAAAAAATGTTAGGGGTAGACAACCCTTGTTAAAAATAGTATTTTGAGGTAAAAAGAGTTGTATGTATTTTGTCAATTCCGCATTAAAAAAATTAAAATGAAAAAAATTGAGCCCATAATTTAAAAAAAGTATCTGGATTGAACAACCCTTAATATTAATAAGGGGTATTTTAAAGTAAAATTTAAGTTTTTGTAATATTCAATGATTGGATTACTAAAATGACTATAAAAAAATAGGGATTGGTGATAAAAAAGTAAAAAAACAAAAGAAACTAGAACAAAAAATTTCGTCCAAAAATTTCAAAAAAAAATTTAAGGGGGAACAACCCTTATGAAAAATAGATAAAAAAATTCTGTAAAGCCGTTTCGGTGGATAAGGGCAACGAACTTTGCGACACTATATATAAGATAGAAATAATTTTAAAAACTATAACTAAATGCATAAATCACTTGTTATTTTTAAGTGTTACTTGTTTCTATTTGTGAAATTTTTATTTTCAGGTAACCTTCCACGTCCAGGAACTCAAAAGAGTTGTCGGTGGTGTAAATACTATGATCGGCAACAATGAAGGTTCCCTAGTAGTCGGTGAGTACGTTCCCATTAATCCAAAAAAATTAAATATAAATTTAGATTTATAATAATTATATTTATTTAGTGATTATTTTGTTGGTATATTTTAAAGGTATCAGTCCTTCGAAACGTATAGGACTTTCTTCTTTAGTTAAAGCTCCACATTCCGTCTACAAATTTGCTCTCGGTGAAATATTTATAATTGACTCTTGAATTTTATTGACTAATTTTATAACGGAATGGTTTTTGTGAGTGTTGTGGTGATCACGAGCACAACATTTCATACATACAAATCAGGCACTGGTTAAGTAACTAACAACAATTTATTCTGTATCATTATTTGTGCATCGGCATGTGTTTGAATAGATTATATAAATAGATCCAGATTAGATAATTATACTTTAAACATAAGACATAATTTTATCATTTTAACGTACACTTTTCATCAATCCTTATGGACAATATGTTTGCATGATAGTGTTAATCGCATAGAATTGAAGAATTTACATTTTCCGTTCTATTAAATATGTAACAATCTTCAATATTCATTTAGGAATTTCTTTAAGGTCTGAAATTACCAAATTTGGCTGGCAGAGGCGAACGAGTTCAAGCTGAGTACAGTTATGGAAATCAGAAGACGTCCAACATCAATGTTGCATTCATTAAACCGTTTATTAACTACCAAAAAGAACCAATGTGAGTAGAAGTATTTAAATTAAAAATTATGTTATAAATTATTTATCGATAAAAATGTATTCAAAAATTAAAAATGAAAAAACCATAAACTAGTGGTGCATGGCATTGTGCCTTGAGGCAAATTATATTTGTATTTCATAGACAAAATATAAGAGCTTATGGATATCTATATATGAACAGTGCTCCAGAACTCAACAGGATTATAATATGGAATATAACTATCATGCAAAAATTTTGAAAAAAAAAATCTAACATTTGGAAATTATGAACTTTCAAAGCTTGGGCAATTTTTCGATATTGTGGTTAATTTTTACTAATTTTGTTTATTTAAACTTTGGCATCGTAACCGTGAATAACATTTCTCGGACTAAAGTCAAAAAAATAACTAATAAGAATTGAGGCTTTTTGTTGAACTGTGAATTTAAAGCTTTTAATATTTATCAACTTTTAAAAAAAAAGTACCAAAGTGTGTTGTAAAAGTACCAAAAGTTGGCGCATTTAATCACAATTTTAAATTGGTGAAATACATACATACACTCCCACACATCCATTTTTTTCTAAGGTATGCTGAAATGTTCAGAAACCTTTGAAACGTGAAAAAATGCAAAAAAAAATAATTTCGATTTTTTGGATGATCACAATAACTTACCCTACGGGAAGATAATAAAAAAAAGTGCCGGGTTATGTTGTGTTTATGTAAATTAACTACTGTCACCAGTTAAAAACTTGTTAAATCTGAATTCTAATCGATTAAGTCTTTTTAATTAACTTTCCGTGGGGTAAGTTATTGTAATGGGCCGAAAATTGGAATTGAAAATTTTTACATTTCTCGACGTTTTGAAGGTTTTTGAACATTTTGGCATACTTCAGAAAAAATGGATGTGTGTGTGTGTGATGTGTGTGCGTGTGTATGTATGTATGGATACAAATTTTCGCCCACGTTTTTGGGCGTACGGATCAACCGATTTGAATGGTTTAAAAAACATTCGATTCCTATTGATAAGGAGATGTGCTGATTAGTTTTTGGCAAAGGCAGGTCCAGCAGTTTCGGAGATAAGGAGCAAAGAGTGCAGAAAATAGAATTCGAGTTTTTGAGAGAACGGAGCATCCGACTTGAATGATCTAAAAAACATTCAATTAGTAATGATTGGGAGAAGGGGTTATTAGTTTTTCGCAAAGGCAGGCCCAGCCATTTTGGAGGTACAGAGCTAAATGTACAAAAAATGGCAGTTTTTGAGAGAACTAAGCGTCCGATTCAATTGATTCAAAGAACTTTCTGCTTGTCTTAACAAAATTGATTTTGGAAAAAAAAAAATTTGCTTTAATTTTTTTTTTTTTTTTTTTAATTTTTTGTATATCGAAAATAATTCAGATTTTATTTTTAATTCTGACTATAGTTCTAATATACTTTAAACAAATAATTTCAACTTTGCAATTCAGTTTATATAATTCTTATAAATATTAGACAATGTTACAATATTTATAATAATCTATTTGAAAACATTATGTATTCCTCGAACATTTCGTTACGATACTGGAAGTTCCAGCAATTTGCCTTAAGGCACGATGCCACTTACCCCACTAATTAATTTATTCATATCGAGCAGTTCATGCAACTTAAGTTAAAGCAACTTGCCACTTACACCTAATTCTATTATCGTTTTAGCCTCACCTGTAGTTTATTCCAACAAGCAGCAGACTGGCCATGGTCCGGTTACGCAACTGTTGACAAAGGAACACTCGTAGACCTTGCATTCACATCTACCGGCAGTGTAAGTAACAAAATCTAATCTCATCATCTTTTATCATACAATCCAATTTATAATGTCTAATCGATCTATTACCAGTTGAGACACAATCTCCAATGGGAGGGGTTCAATACGCGAACTGGGCACCCCGTCCAAGACGTCAGCCTTCGAAGTCAGGTCGCAGGCTGGTCCTAAACTGAAGTCAGCCTTCCGACACATTCTCTGCTTGGACCAGAGAGACGATAAAGTATTTCCGACAGGGGGAAGGATGTTTCAATGGACCACGGAGTTTGCAGGACCTGGTGGCAATGTGGGACATGTCAAGAACGAGTTTCATCTTCAGGTCAATAGATACATACAGAACGGGCTCGTGTTGCAGGGAAGTTTACAGGTAAGGGGTGATAAAGGATACATTTTATGGTAATTGATAACATACTTATACAACTAAGCCTGTTTTTACACGGAGATTGGTTCCAGAAGAAGCCGTGTAAAAAAGACATTGATCTTATACAAAAATGGGTGATTTGTTCCTAATCTCTAAAACCTATTAAAATTGGTGAAAAACAAGAATTTTTAAGAACAAGAATTAAATTGGTGCTATTCACATTTGCTTTGACCAGTAAAAATTGTTTGTACGCGCTAAAGGGGAATTCACTTAAATCTTTAAGCTAGTGTTTGCAAACTATCGATACTATCGATGGTTTCAGACTTTTTTCTTTCATAAATACTTTTTTGTGATAAGAACATACTTTGCAAAAATTTAATTTGACAAAAAAATTTAGGTACATAAAATTTCAAATCGTGCTAAATGGAATAAATTCGTGTAAAAAAATTAAAAATATTCAATTTTCAAACCGTGTTATATCAAAACCGTGTTATATCAAAACCGTGTACAAAAAGATCGTGTAAAAACAGACTTAGGTGTACTTTAATCATTCATAATTAACTTCTTGAAAAAGAATTTTATGTTTTCATAAAAAAATCTGATTTGCTAGTTGTATGTTTTCTCCTGGACGTTTCAGGCAATTCTAAATCGAATGAGACCAACATTTGGAAAAAGTATGTTTGTGTGTGAACAGATTTTTCGTCGTAAATCGACAGTTTTTTCAAAAACTATTTCAATGAGGACTATCGTTTTATCAATTTTGTGCAGCGATCGTCCAATTTCTTTGTAATTAGCAGAAAAGTGAAAAATTTTTCGTCTACGTTTTAGCCCGCAATTTTGGAATCGATTTTGAAAATTTAAAAACCGTTGAAAAGATATTGGTTGGGAATAGACCTGACAAGTTTTAGATAAAAATCTACCGAACTGTTTTCTTGAAAGGAACTGTTGAAAAAAAAATTGTCTATTTTTATGAACCTTTTTAGTAATAGATACCATAGTCTTATAAAACATACTAACATTTTACGACTCTACGACAAATAGTTTAATAAAAATACATCAAAGTTTGAAAAAGTATTATAGTCAAAATTTAAGTCAAAAGTTACTTTCGTGATGTGATGACTCAAACATTATCAATTCATTAAAATTTAATATAATAAGCTACAATTTTAGGACATAGAAGCACTATAGTGTCTGTGCTATATAAAATATAATTACAGCTAATTTAAATGTGTTTAAAAAAATTCTATTTGAAATCGCAATGTTTAGATTTAATTGATAGCGATAACTTCATTTTTGAAATAAACAGTTGGAAATTTTATCTAAATATCTAAATTTCAGTTTCTTGCCTTAAGGCTCTATGCCACTTTTACTAGTTTATTATTTTGTTTACTGTCTTTTGTTGTCGCAAATATTTTTTGTGTGTTTTAAATATATATTATTAACATGTTACTGTAATCGTCAAAAAAAAATCGCAATTGAAAAATTTTGCATTTTCTGAGCATTTGGCATACCTCAGAAAAAAAATTGATGTGTGTGTGTATATTTGGATACAATTTTTCACACGTTTTCTGGCGCACGGATCAACCGATTTGAATAGTTCAAAAAACATTCGATTCCTATTGATAGGGATGGGCTGATTAGGATTCCTATTGATATTGGGAGATGCGCTGATTAGGTTTTAGCAAAGGCAGGTCCAGCAGTTACGGAGATAAAGAGCAAAGAGTGCAGAATATATAAATCGAGTTTTTGAGAGAACGGAGCATCCGCTTTGAATGATCTAAAAAACATTCAATTAGTGATGATTGGGAGAAGTGGTTATTAGTTTTTGGCAAAGGCAGGCCCAGTCATTTCGAAGATACAGAGCGAAATGTGCAAAAAAATGGCAGTTTATAAGAGAACTAAACGTCCGATTTAAATGATTCAAAGAACTTTCTGCTTGTTTTAACAAAATAATTGATTTTGGAAAAAAAATGTTTCAATTTTTTTTATTTTTTTTTGTGTATCGAAAATAATTCGGATTTTATTTTTAATTCTGACTAAAGTTTATATATTTCTTATAAATATTAGACAATGTTACAATATTTATAATAATCTATTTGAAAACATTCAATATCCTCGAACATTTTATTAAGGTTAGCAATGCCTTAAGGCACGATGCCATACACCACTAGTTAATTTAAATATGACATTAGGTTCTTTTATTAATTTAAATATTATACTCTTAGGGTGGCATTTTATCCAGCTTAAACAATTATGAACAATCAGATTTATCAGAAAAATACTACCTCGGAGGTCCTTTAAGTTTGAGAGGCTTTACAATGAGAGGGGCAGGTCCAGCCGCTGAGGATAACTTTACAGGGGCACCGGTAAGTAAAACTTATTTATACAACTATGAAATCCTTTTATTATCTTTAATGATTTTTTTTTTGATATTTTTTTAGATGTTTTGGGCAGCAGGTCTACAATTATTTTCACCGTTGCCCTTCAGACCAGGACAGGGTGGTATCGGTGATTTATTCCGGGTACATGGCTTTTTCAATGTAGGAAATGTTGGCGAATTCGATATCTGTAAGTATTGATTAGGAGATGTGCTGATAAACTATTGTTTATAATTTTTTTCTTCCCCTTAGCTCCTGATCTGGAGGCTTCCTGGGCTTCTCTATCCGAGAAACTGCGCATGTCTACCGGCCTGGGCCTTGCAATGAGAATCGGCCATATAGCTCGACTAGAACTAAATTATTGCTTCCCGCTAAAGTACGAAGAATCAGACAGTATCTGCCAAGGAATACAATTTGGAATCGGCTTAAAATTCTTGTAGTTTGCATAAAAACGTGTAAAAAAAATAATAAAACGTACAATGCATATTAAAGTTTTCACAAAGGGCACACATTGTTGTTGTGGCATTTACTTGTATTATATTTGGATCAACAAATCCATGTTGTGTCATTTGTTTAAGTTCAAACAATTGTGATGTGCCATAGATACGTGAAAAAGAAATCTGCACGCAGGTATTTTAGTCGCATTGTAAATATTGTTAATAAATTATAAATGAAGCTAGTCGGAATACAGAATTATTTTAAACAAAAACCAAATGTTACTTACAAAACTATATTTTATTAAACCAAATACATTAATTTAAACTTATATTAAAGTATCTTCTGATCGCACGTATTCACCAATATCTGCTTGATGGAAACATACGGTAGTCATTGGATCGGCATGTTTACACTCGGCTGTGGATCTGGCAGCAACACCAAAACCTAGAGGCAAGTCACTCATTGATAAAACCACAACACCTTGGTATTTCTCGGTGTTCTCAGTGATACGTCCTAAACCGGATTTGAGGACAGGATTTCCATACAAGAATTGCTGCTCTGCAGAAGGCTTGACCCAGATTTTATAAGGAGCATATGGAGCTAAGAACGTGAGTGCTGTTATGTGCAATCTAAATTTATTCGTTTTTGTAAACTTTCCAAAACATGTGCCTACTGATAGCAGGTTGTCAGGTGATACGGTTTCGGCTAGGCGTAAAATTTTTTCTGATACATAGAAAACTCTGTCTTTGTGTTCACGGAAACAATAAGTTCCATCTGGGCGATCTATTAGTTGTTTGATATTCGGTCCAATACTAGAAAAAATATAATAAATTAATATTTGTTCACTACATAACCTCAAAATTATGTTTATATTTGTAATTGCCAACTTACTATTTTGCTAATTTTTCGAATAATAGCTTGGTGCGATCGTCGGACAGGCGCTTCATTTTTTGTTTATAACTTTATATTTATTTGTTTATAACTAATTTTATTTAATTATTTGTATTTAATATTGATTGACAAGGTTAACGCACGTGGGTTATGTAGTGACAGGTCTAAAGAAACGACAACAACTAAGTGAAGTTGGTCGCTTTTGTTGCCGGTAAAAAACTTGTTCCAACATTAGAATAATAACTGAAGCCAATTTAATTTAAATATTTTTGAAAAAGCAATTTAAAATAAATTTGAAAATAGAATTATTCAAATGTTGAATACAATCTATCTCAAATCGTTTTAAGTACAATATACAATAGGGTATTACAATTGAAATGCTTCAAAATATAAAACAATTTAAATAATTTTTCTAGAAGGCACTTTCTACTTTTTATCATGTCCAAAATATTTGCACAAATATATACTTGTATTTTTATTTTAATTACCAACTATTTCTACCATCTTTCGTGCTACGACAAAAAACTAAAAATATCGTAATAATAAATATTATTTAATATTTATTATTTAAATTTTAATACAGGGTCTGCCTATCCAACTTTTTTTTAAATTTTATTTTAAGAATTCAAATATTTTCTTTTTGTTTTTGCTTAGATTTTTTTTTATTATCCAGAAGGGTTGTACATTGAAAATAAAAACAAAATTTAAAAAAATATCCACTAGTTTTTAACTTCCCGTAGGGCAAGTTATAGTAATCGCAAAAAAATCGAAAATGAAAATTTTTATATATCTTTACGTTTCAAAGGTTTCTGAATATTTTGACATACCTTAGAAAAAATAGATGAGTATGTGTATGTGTGTGTGTGTTTTGTATGTCCGCATTTTTTTGTCCATGTTTTCGGGCGCACGGATCAACCGTTTTGAATGGTTTAAAAAACATTCGATTCCTATTTCGATTCCAGGCTAAGCACAGTCTGAGCGCCACTCTGGAACAAATGTTTACCCAAGTGCGTTTAGACTGTTTAGGTACTGGATAAATTTTCCAATTTTGTGAAAACTATTGAAAAATGTGAAAATGCCGCCAAGCTAAGCACAGTATAAGTGAAAATGTCGCACAGAATTATTTGCAAATGCGTTTAGACTGTGACTATACGGGAGCACTTTTTCAATTTTGTGTAAATTAGGCAACTATTTTTTTTTTAAATTGAATTCGAAATTAAAATGACGATTGTTAATGTTCTGGGGATAAATTGATTTATGATTTACATTTGATTTGCTCAGATATAACAAGATAGCAAAAATAATGAAAGTTACAGTATTTGTAGTAATATATTTGTAATAATATGTTTAAAATTTCTCGAATATTTCATTACGGTACGGGAAGTTCCAGCAATTTGCCTTAAGGCACCTTGCCATACACCACTAGTTTTTTTGTAATTTTTGTCATATTTTTCTATAAATATTACTATAGTCTCATAGTTTATTAAATCTTAAAAATTTCCTTTGACAAACTCTAAAAAGAATTGTCAAAATCCGAATAACCGTTTAGAAGAAGTATCAAACCATACACCCGTAATTAGTTAAAAATGCCGTTTAGACCTCGGTACATTAAAAATATATTTTATATATAAATTCACCATTTATTACCATTAAACAGTGGAAAATTCCACAAAGTAATTCTATTTAAATACAAATAAATAAATATCAATGAGAGAGTCCTTCAATGAGAACTGGTTTTTGTGTTAAAGTAATGTAATGAATGCCAAGCGCATGTCTTCTTCTTACACTGATTAACACATTTTTTCCAAGGGTACCTGCTACTCTCGTACAAATACGACATTATTATTTATTTTACTCATTAGAATTAGCATAAAATCGACATGAATATAATAAATATAAATGATAATTTATAATTTTTTACCAATCGAATGCAGCACTGCAAGTGCATGTGCATGACCTAAATAAAATTCTCTCTATGCACTTATATTATGCAGTGTATTTCTAATTTACAATACGACGTGTGAAAGCAGATCGCTCGTCCGTTCGAATGCGTCCATCAAACTTGCGTAAAAAAAGTAATAATAATAATAATAATAATAAATAAATTGTGTTAAAAAGAAAATCTGATCTTATTTCTAAATTTCTAAAACTAGTGGGGCGCATGGCATCGTGCCTTAAGGCAAATTGCTGGAGCTTCCCGTACCAAATATTATTTTCTTGAAAAAAGATTAACATTTTTTGAAAAAATTTTACTTCGAAAAAATTAGATTTTTGGGAAACAATTACTTTTTTTGAAAAAAAAATTTTTTTTGAAAAAAAATGTTTTCTTATTTTGACATATTTTGGAAAGTCTGAACTTTTTTTCAAAGCAATCGTACTGCTTTAACTGCATAGAGACAAAATATCGAAGCGCGTAAGCGCCGCGTCGCCGTCTAGAACAGGGGTCGGCAAGCTTTTAACTGTGATGTGCCGAGCCACTCTACCAATATGATTCAGGGTGCCGCCTGAAATATATAACCAGGTTCTGGGGGAGAAGAATTATAACCAAATTTATCTCTTAAACATTTTTATTAACTAATGGGGTGCATGGCAGCGTGTCTTAATTCAAACTGCTAGAACTTCCCATACTGAAATTAAAAATCTTGGTCAATGGGTTTAAAATTACTACAATATTTGTAAAAATACTACAATGGGTGTAAAATTACTACAATGTTTGTAAAAATACTACAATGGGTGTAAAATTACTACAATGTTTGTAAAAATAATACAAGGGGTGTAAAAATACTACAATGTTTGTAAACAATACTACAATGGGTGTAAAATTACTACAATGTTTGTAAACAATACTACAATACTACAATGTTTGTAAAAATACTACAATGGGTGTAAAATTACTACAATGTTTGTAAAAAATACTACAATGGGAGTAAAAATACAACAATGTGTTTGTAAACAATAATACTACAATGGGTGTAAAATTACTACAATGTTTGTAAAAATACTACAATGGGTGTAAAATTACTACAATGTCTGTAAACAATACTACAATGGGTGTAAAATTACTACAATGTTGTAAAAATACTACAATGGGAGTAAAAATACAACAATGTGTTTGTAAACAATACTACAATGGGTGTAAAATTACTACAATGTTTGTAAAAATACTACAATGGGTGTAAAATTACTACAATGTCTGTAAACAATACTACAATGGGTGTAAAATTACTACAATGTTTGTAAACAATACTACAATGGGCGTAAAATTACTACAATGTTTGTAAAAATACTACAATGGGTGTAAAATTACTACAATGTTTGTAAAAAGACTACAATGAGTGTAAAATTACTACAATGTTTGTAAACTATACTACAATGGATGTAAAATTACTACAATGTACTACAATTACAACTTTCTAGTACAAACGGTGCGTCCTGCAGAGCTTAAAGATAATGCAGGATTCACAATTAAGATTTAAAATTTAATTTTAGTCTCCTTTAGCATATATATTTTATTTTACAACACACGCTTATGAAATTCTTTCAGGAGGTATAATTTTATAATTACTTAAATGTTTATTATAAACTGTTTTATAATAAAAACAATTTTTATAGCCCTAAAATATTTTAGAATGTTTAAGACCATGAACTCTGTAATTGTATGAAATCATTTAGAATAACTTGAAACGACGAGAGAACATAAATAACAAATCGGATTTCTGGTGAAAACATAATTTTCTTTGGTTTATAATAAATATAAATAAATTAATATTTACATTTCAAATTTTGAAAAAACCGCCATTAAATTTACTTACCGCATCTGGTACTTCTAATCAGGACCAACTTCATCATACAACTCTACGTTTCCGCCAATCAGGACGAAGGAGCCGTAATGGACGCAATTTGTTCGGTTTGATATTTGTGAAATATTAAATAAATACACTTGTGATTTATATAAAATTATATACATAAACTTAATAAAACTGTGTGGTTATTGATCTAAATTAAATTTTAAAATGTATGTGCCGAAAAGGAGAAAGAATGAAGTTAAATTGTGTTTAAATAAGTCGTTACTAGTTTCGTTAAAAGATGAAAATTGAATAATGGCGTCTTTACTCGGTATGAAAATAGAATGATAAAGGATTATTATACATGAGGATGCGTATATATAATTTAAAATATGAGGAAGGATACGTATGGTATAAAAAAATCGGTAGAATTATACCATATATATATATATATATATATATATATATATAATATATATATAGATTTTTATTTATTCATTTGTTTATCTGTTACCCCGCAGCCGCCATTACAGCCGCTGTCATTTAATTTTATGTAACAATTTTTTTATGTATTTTATTAATTAGCATTATATTTCTTGCATTAATAATTATGCAACCGAGTTGCAGACACGTTATAAAATATATAGAAATGAATATCGTACGTCACACAGAATGAGTTGATGACTTAGCAATTAAGAAAAAATATATGTAAGTATATATAGATATTTGCATATGAGGCGTTTGTAAATGTAATACTCGTCATTGCTTTCATTAGTATGCAAGACTTGTTTAGAGTCAGTAGTTGATAGTTGAAATCCGATAATGGGGATTAGTTTTACACGAAAAGAAACTAATAAAGTCATTTATAGAAAGTAAATGTTGCACAGTTCCACTCTGCAAAATTATATGTGATAGTGTTCTAGTGATAAACAGATTGTCGCTCTTGGAATTGATATTGTTTTTATTTGTTGTTTGTTGGTTTTACACAATGCACTAGGAAAATTGTTGTACAAGGATTACCCGCTGTTTTAATTGTGTATCAGTTATCATTTTAAGGTGAGTGCATATTTTTTTGATTATTGTGCAAATTTTTTGGTTAGAATTCTAACAACGTACTTGAACATTGACCCTGGAATGTGATCGATGCCCTTTGACTGCGGTTTATTGATGAAATTAATACAATAACGTTCTTGTATTGTAGTAGTAATATCACATTAGTCCATTGTCTTGAAATAAATACGTATTTTGTTTATAATATATTTAAAATTTGTACAAATTTTGACAGTTGAGTTAGGTTTGAACTTAGCCGATGTAAATTTTTAAATATTTGTTCTAAACATTTAAATAATAAAATTTAAAAATGTCTGCGTTCATATATTATAA